AAAAGTGGCCTCTCCAAAAGACTACGATTCGTTAAAGGACACAGCTCGTTGTGGCTGGGAGAGTGGCTGTGTTGATTTATTTCTGAACTGGCTCAACAACATGAACATTATCCAAATTTGCCCGTGGATCCGCGGCAAGTCCGTGTAAATAACTCGAGTTGGCGCCGTCGGTATCTGAGTCTTTACCCTGTAATGTGTGTATTTTCACAGCTTTCGCCTGGCAAATTAACGCAGCGCACTAAACAAGGAGACACGCACTGTTGTTCTGCGGGCATTTGTTCAGACTGCAGCTCGCGTCAGTTTGGCTGTGAAAGAGTCTCAGACAAACGGCAGAGGATGTACAAGACAGCTGCGTCCCACTTCCTTCAAAATGGCCGCCGCAGTGGTTTAAGCGACTTTGACCGACTACATGATTTACTTTCTTGAGTAGGAGTAGCGCACTGAACAATAGAAAAGGAGAGTTACAAGTAATTCTTTGGAATTTGACCTAATTTATTAAATATGCCCCTGAAACTGCCCTAAAACGAAGGAGAATAAAACTTTTGAAGCTGTTTTAGCTTTAGCTGTAGCTTAAGCACTAACTGAGTCATTTTTATTGCATTTGGTTGATCAAGTACTTTTTACTATGTTCAATCACAGTAAAGATGAATCTTATCTAATCTAATTAACATTTCTAACAGTAGCATCACTGTAACTCATTAGCTTATGTATGTCATTAGTCTATGACAGGAGTGTCACACAGTTAGCATGAATGATTCCATCCACACACACACACGACACACCCTACCGCTCTTATGAGGCAGGCCTTATTGTTTTCTATAGTTAGTGCAATAATATTAATCCCAATGATGAATGTTTCAGCTTCAACTTTTTATTTCTATTGATTTTTTGTATTGAATTTTGTAATATGTCTAGTTCAGAAACTGTTAAGACCACGCTAAAGTCCAATCTGCCTACTTTCTTGCCTATTAAGGGGTCAGAATTGTATAAAGCCTCAGACTTTGCGAGAGATAAAAGAATTTTCATTCTTTCAACTAAAAAATAAGGCACGATCAATTACTAAAACTATACACCGAATCAATGTATGGCAAGATGGACAACTGAGATATGTAGTATCTTAGAAAATGAGCAAAGGAACACATTTTTTCCACGTTTCTAAAGCACTAACGCATCATTTTCAACAAGTGCTGAGTAAAGGCAACGTATAACCACAGCTATGGTTATTCTTGCTCGCCTCCGGGTGATAATGTGCCAACACGTGGGAATGCGGAAAGTAAAAGAAAAAACATCAATCTGTCCCTCAACGGGAAGAAAAAAAAGGCTGAAAGCGGCAGAACGGGAGTGGGGTGAGTGCAGAGGTGGAGTGCCCTTCTTCCAGCGAAAAACATATATTATTTCAGGTGGATGAGGACATCAGAATGTGAGAAGTGCACACTGATAACTCACTCCGTGGAACACAAATGTTGTCCTGGGTGCTGAAATGTGCGTTGCAGCCAGAATCTCTGCTGGCAGCGGGTCATAGCCAGTTTGCTCATCAGCGTCAATATTTACCTCATCTGAACTCAATAATCTATAACAAAAGCCAAGGGGAGAAAATAATCGAATGTCACATGTAGAGTGTATTCAGAGGATGGGGAACAAAGGCTTCTATGGGCAATATTTTAGAGAATTTTCGAGAGGCAAAGACGGGTTTTAAGAAACTTTTTTTTTTTTTTTTTCAAATTAAACCCATTCACACTTTTAAACTGAGCTATGGGTCACTATATAATATTTGCCTCACTGTTTCATATTCCTGTAACTGACAAAAGAGAAGAATAAAAACTAGTTCCCACCTTTTCGGAAAATATAAACATAATTCAAAAAGCTATCCATTTAGTTTTCTGCCAGGTTTTGTGAATTATTCAGTTATTACATTGCATGCTCAACAGATATTATTCCCAGTTACTTTCTGCCTCCGCACAAGGTCTGAATAAACAATTTTATATGAGTGTGGCCTTTACAACTCAAACTAACAAACACTCCAAAGAAAAAAGACATTTGAGAGGCCATTGAAAAACTCAAACAAATCTCCAATAACCCCATTAGAATGGAATGGAAATTGATTTCTGAGAGATGCACATCTAAAAATCTGGACAGGTAAAAAGTATTTGCAAAACCCGAAGCCACTGACGGACGATGAAATATTAACTCTGTCTGTAATTGTTTTTTTTTCTGCAGTTTCTACGGAATGAGAGAGAGAGACAGAAAAACAAAGAAAATTGTCTGCTCTCCAGATACTGAAGAATGGACATTAAAGATGAAATAGTCTCTCTAGAGCTTGTCTATTTAGACATGACTGTCAGTTAGAAAGAATGGTGGCTGAATCAGTCATCTGACAGTAAATGAAAGTTCTGACCCTCAACTAGCAAGTTCAATAAAAGAAAAAAGGGGGAAAAAAAAGATGTCGTGGGCTTCGCGCAAGGAGCCGAAGCAACAAATCCATGCGATTGAGGTAAGGAGTGTAGCCCCCCCTGTATGGCCCCCTTTATCCGAGCCTGTGCTTTGCTCCTGAATGTGTACTTAAAGAGGATGTTAATGAACTGCTGTCACACGTAGGCTGCTGCCTTTGAGGCGGCAGTCAGGATTCTCCCCACGTCCTCGTCTGTTTGCAGTGTCGAGGCTGTGATGTGCTGCCTGACTGCAGAGCGCCGCTTGGAGCCAGATCGGAGGGGGACCCACTCGGTACGGGGGGGGGGTGGGGTCCCCTGCTGTGGTCTCCCACCCCCCGCCATCCGAGTCGTCCTCGACTCTTACTCTCTTTCCTAAATACCATCGCTTTCCGTGGGTCTCGTTTCCAGCGCCTTTGTGCCGTTCTACGTTGTGGATTTTTTATAAGACGGCCGAAAAAACGAAGAAGGAGGGGAACCCTGAGCGAGGCCGAAATGGCGTCTGTGAGGGGTAACAGAGACGTACGCAGTCTGCACACGCCGCTCTCCCCCAGCAAGCTGCACCTCGGGTGGTGTCGGAGTGCTGTGAGCAGCGACTGTGCCACCTGTCACCCCCCGTGTCCCGGGGCTTACCACCGCCTCGGCCAGGCAACACTCAGGCCCAACCTCAATTAGACTGCCATCACACGACGAGAATGACCCCTCTCACGGACGGATTTTTTTCTCTTTTAGCAGACATCCGTGCCTGTCACATAACCACTTATCTCCACCGTTTTTATATATGTTTGCCGGACAGGGTCTTGTCCATGTTATAAGAAGGGGGGGGACGTATTTAGGAAGGGGGACATCTGCTTGCCGACATCGCTTCTGATGACGTTATATCTCTGGGGTTCGGGGAAATTTGGGTAGCCCTTAAAAGGGAATGCGTGGACTCTCTTGTAGGCATGACATCTGGCTCCGGCAAACATCTGAGTAAGCAGATTGGCCCTGCGGGCCCAGTGTGACAGCCGATGAGGAAGCCGGGAGATGTGGGAGAACTGATCTGCAGAGCCCCACTGCTCAAGCTGTCACTTTAGCTTGGTTTGGCACGGATAGATTCTCCCTGGCTCTGAGGCATTAGGCCCACTCCTCTGACTGCCACTGCCCTGCCGGCCCCGAGCCAAGCCTTTCATAGAGCAGGTCGCTCGTCACTCCCACCGCCTTTCTTCCTCTCCTTCTCCGGCTTATTTTGTCTTAGGAGGGCTTGTCTATTGCGATCTTTCTCTTTTCCCTCCTCCCCTGAAACCACAGAATTGGATTCATTATAATCTGCCATCGTTTGCCATTCCTAACTCCTGTGCAGGGCTCCAACCGTCTTTGTTGTTTTCTCGGAGGAAATGTTCGGTCGTTCAGTAATCCCCCCCCCCCCACCCACGAGGATTCGCTCTGACATTTTAAACTGTCAGTATCAAAAGGTAGCCGCCAATGATCTGCGCGCAGTTTTTCGAAGTTAAACTGAGGGCAGCGGCAGCACAAATTTCTCCTGTCTGGATTGATGACGGGGCAAAAAATGTCCGTTGAAGATCTACATCGGCCCACACTCTGAACTGAGTTCTTCAACCTCTCTATCACAAGTTATCGGTTAAGGTGCACTCCATTTAAAATGGTGTGCCCCGAAGCCCAGAGATTACATACAGCAATGAATAATTTGCCACAGAGCAAGAAAACACAAAGAAAACAAAACAAATAATACTTATATCCCAGATGAATACAGCAAGCATCACAAGTTATACATTTAGAGTTAAGTAAAGGGGAGGTAAAACCATTTCAATGAAATCATCCCGACAGTTCATTTTTACAAAGCCACTTCTTCATTCAAATCATAAACTAATTAAATAAATCATTTGGCTCAGACAATAGTTCTCACATCTAATTTGCAAAAGGTCAGAGTGTTCCGTTGGCCAAGTGATCTGTAGAAAGAACACGCGTGTAACACTTCCCTGTAATACTGTGCTATCTCATCAGGGCAGCTGGAACTGTTTTTGATTCTCCAAGTTGTTTCCCTGAAGCTTCCTCGGTTCATCACAGCATATCTCTTACAAGACAAGGAGCCTTTGGACTAAACAAGTCTTTGGGATTACCATGAAATGGACGAGAGTCCGCAGAGATGCGTCCACAGAGCTCCACTTATCCAATCAGTTTTTTCTTTCCTGATCTCGTTTGAGTCACTCTCGTTCGTCAATAGTTTACGATAACAACACAGCAGGCATTTAAATGAAACGCTTTTGAAGTTCAAGAGAATGTCTTTAGTTTGGAACCAACTGAGTGTATAATTGCGCCTCTGAACCAGACGAACAAATGTTCAATTTCAGGGACGAATCTGCGGATCTGTGACGAAAAAAATCTAAGACTATTTGACAATGGAAACGGCAACGTTAGCTTGCGCCTGCTGACCAACGGCGACGCAGCCCAGCTACACAAAAACGGTCTGAACTCTGGCTGCCAGCACGACTCCCAGGAGAGAGTAGTATTTTTTTTTTTTTAAAGAAGAGAGAAGAGAAAAAATGAAGGAAATGCTCAGAAGTGAATTGTGCCGCACAACACTGTGGTTGGTTGTGTAAGCTGTGTGTACATCAGAGTGGGATCGTGTCGTGGTGCAAATCAAAACCAGCTGCCGTCGTTGTTTGTCTAGTAAACTCATCATTAAAAAATGTTTCTGAAATGGACTGCTGGACGATCCACGCATTCATCTTTTGAAACTGAGCCAGTTGCCTGCGCTGGTAAACCTTGCCGGTTGTGTTTTTGTCTCCGCTGCTTGTGTTCCCGTTTCCCGGCATGCAAAACGTCAAGACATATCAATTACAGCCACATCTGTATGGGAAATACCACTCACTTGTCTGGCCTTCCGGGCAGCTGCAGGCGTAAGCGACATTTGTTAGCACACTGGATCTGTTCCTCTTTGATGCGGATAAGCCTCTGCAGAGCCAGACACCAATCCTGCGCCACCGTGGTGTTCAGGTTCTGTGATAGAAAAGAGAGACACGGAGGTAGCACTACTCGTTTCCCAGCTGTGGCACTCGCTAAACGCATTATAAGTAGATGGAGGCCCGGCTGCTATAGATCTGCCCGATTCTCTCGCCCGGACAATAGCGTGCGTCCATTTCCGGGGGCATTATTCGAGCCGAAATTCTCTCGAATAATGAACCGCGCAAGCCTTTTGATTCACTTAAACGCAACACTAAACTTATTTCCGTTTTGGAATCCACACTGAGCAAAACTCAGACCCTCAAGTCAAACAGAATCAAATCAATTTTCTGCAGTGAATGAGCTGCGTGGAAGCACAGAGTCTATTTTTTTATTTTTTTATTTTTGTCAGCAGACTCCGTATTAGAACTGAGTGGAAAGTGGATATCAGCCACTAAGTACCAGGCCAATATCATTCCCCCTGAGGGCATTGTGCTCATTAAGTGCGGGGGGGGGGGCAAAAGGTGTCACCATTAGTCTGAGAGGCTCTTGGTGATTGCAGGAGTGCACCTCCCTGGATGTGTCTATGGTGGTGTAAATGTGATCGTGACCGACTACTGGGAAGTGACCTGATTTGAACACAACAGGAGGGGTACCCGCAATTTATTTGGAAACACAACAAATCTCTAACTACTCCCTGGCAAGTCGAAGGGAACACCTCTTTCTCTCAACTGTTGTTCGACACCTAAGACATCTGATGAGAGACTTTGTGTATTAATTACTCGGAAAGCATTAACAGGATCTTTTTGATCAGATTTTAAACATCTTCCAAACTTCTTTTGGAAGAGCAAAACATAAGAATGTTTTTCTTCGCACAGTCCAAGCCAAGTGCTCCTTTCTTTTTAATTTGATTCATTTTTTTTTTTTTCTATGAAATTCCTCAGTGTGCTCCCAGGGCTTAAAAGCTATTGTAAAACGAGCTTCAGCTAGAAAATTGCATTCCGTACTTCATATATTTTCATTTAATATCTTCAGATAACTTCATTGTAAATAATTTGGGATACCGAAAGCGCTCTTGGAGGAGAAAAAATTCATGTTTCAATGTCAGCCAAGTGTGCATTTTTCGATGGCCCACATTTGTACGACGATGCCCCGAGAGATCTAGCCTGCGAGGTGATGTGATGCGGGCGAACAGATTCTTATTCCAGGAGCTTTTGTTGCATTTCGTAGCGAGCTGGACGCTTACAATTTTTGTGCCGTCTGTGCCTTCTTTCCTTGTATATTTCTCGAAATGTGTTGTGCCACGCGCAGAGGTGGTGCTGGGTCACACATACCTGGTACGTCCCCTCCAGTGTGCCCACGAGCAAGGTAACCTCTTCTACCACCGAAAGGTCATGTTGAAGCTCCTGCAGCTCCTGGTACAGCCGTGGAGGGCCCAGAAGAGCTTTACCTGTGAAGTGGACAGAGTAGAAACTCTAAGACGCGCATCTATTTTCTATACCCGCTTAGTCCAACACAGAAATGACTAACCATGCACACTCACACTCGGCCCTAACGTCCGTTCACCTTGTTTTTGTAGAGGAAACCAGAACAACATGCGAACGGGCCAATGTGCAGCCCCATCATTTCTTTCGTAAGGAAAAATAAATATGTTGATATCCTACGCAGCGTGCACAGAGCTGGTCCTCCGCGTATGTTTTTTCTTTTTGTAAAAGCTGTGTCCCAGCAGACGCCCATTCATCCGAGCACAGCCATATCTGGCTAATATCTCTAATATATCTAATATCTCTAATATAACTAATATCTCTTAGTTATCTCACTGTAATTTTGCTCAGTGTGCTGGGATGTTTGTTTTTTTTGTTTGTTTTTTGTATTCCTTGCTTGCCATTTCTGCTCGATAAGTGTGGATTCGGAATGTTTACAGGCCTGGGCCTGTTTTGTGTCTTGTAACATGTTATACGGAGAGCGTTTTGGATTTTTTTTTAAGACTAATGTCTGTCCTGGGGGATTGTTTTGTCAAACTTTTACTGAAAATGCATCAATCTTTCAGTCAATGGTGGTGAAGTTGGTATGAGAGCATTTAAATAGTATGGTTAATTAGTTGTTTTCATATCGCCATGGGGATTTTGGACCGTTGCTTTTTTTGGCAACGATTTTAAGCTCCTTCATGTTGGAATGCTTCCTCATTACACACAACCCGTTTCAGAAAGGGATTCAGCTCTGGACTCGGACTGGGCTACCCCACAATGTGGATACTGTGTTTTATTGATTAGTTCCTCATCATTTTGGCAGCGGTTTTTTGGTTGAATGTTTTTCAGCGCCTGATGTCATCATCTGAAAACCTAATTTATTCCTCTTTTAACATAACTATAAACCCAAATGTGTTCTCCAAAATATATGGCTCATCTCTTGAACTGTGCTTTTGAAACAGCAGAATTTGACAATTTGACAAACTTTGACAGTGACTATGACCAAAAACAGACAGGATAGAGTAAGATACCATGTAAACATTGGAATTAAATTGGAATTTGATTAAGACAAGCTTTATATTGCACTGTGTTAAAAAAAAAAAAATAGCTTTAGTATTGTCAGTATTAAGGTGATGCTACAGTTTACCTAACATGTAGCCAAACATTACAAACTCATGTTATGTCATTGCCTCAGTAGCAGTTTATACTTGTTTCACCACAGGACATGGATGCTTCTTGAAAAATAAAGCATTAAGATTTTATAACTAAAGGATTTCTACATTAAGACATGTCTGCAGCTGTAAACTGAAACTGGGCATGGTCATGAAAAATTCAAGGCTTAAACAGAGCAGTCACATCAGGCTCATGTATGAGTTCATCAGCTTATCTCCATACCAGCCCAAATAAGCTGTTCAATCGGCTGTTTTGCTTCAGAGTAGCTCTATTTACCCTCCTCCAGCCTGCAGACGTGGGCCGCTTTATCCGCAAACAGCCCGTCTTTACCCAAGCTCCTCCTTTACAAACTATGACTAACTTACTGTTTATACTTTGGGACAGCGGTTGCTCTCAGGGCGATCCAAACACAGAGCCAAACACAGAGACATAGTATGACGACTTTAATTCAACATTGTTTCCAATAACGGCCTGTATGTAAACTGTTAAAAGAAGCGATTTCCCCCCATGAACTATTTTTGTAGTATTATTTAAATCTGGAGTCATTTTAATCCTGTTCTATTAAGCAGACTTATTTGTTTATTTCGGTCAACATACTAATCTTTATGAAAAATATGATACCAGCCCCAATTTAAGAGGCAAGACAGATAAACTACCTCACCTAATAGTCAAGAACACTGTAAAAGAAAGCTCAAGGTCAGCCTGTTCCAAACACTGAGAGAAAAAATGACATTATCTCAAAGATCTACTGGAGGAGGGAAAAATAAAGAAAAACTGTTTTGGCTGAAATTCCAGTGGGCACTAAGAAAAGCAGCTCAATGTGCAGATGGATCGATCTTTATTATTTGTTCGGCTACAGAGTGAATTTATGACTTAAAAAAAAATGTAACGGAGAAAGTGTTAGTTGGAGCTACCCATAACCTTTGCTGGTCAAAAGGAATGCAGGTGTCTCATTAGATGCAAAATTTAGCATCGATTTGAGGTCCGCCGCTTTCACAGTCCTTCTCTCTTAGTGCCAAGAATCAATAACAGTGTCTCCTCCTGTCTGCCGTCCTCCCTCCTAGCTCCTCTGGCCCACGTCTCCTCAGCAGCGGGCTCTCCGAGAATTGCCTAATTAAATTCTGCAGGTAGATTTTGCTCCAGAGCTGTCCTGCACTGTCACCGGTAGCACATAATAAAGCAGCAGAAGTGCTGAACAGTTCAACGAGCTCAGTCGGGCGTGCGCTTCCGGGGGGGACATGCAGCGGTTTGGCTATTCACGTGCAGAAATGCACTGAAGCCACAAGAAAAAGGAGTCGAGTGGGGTTTTATTATTCATTTAAAAGGTTCCAATGTAGCTTTTAGGATTTAATGGGATTTTTTTTTACACTAGTGGACAGCGACATCTGTCATCTGTGTGAGCAAATCAATAGCCGAGGCATCTGAATATAAAGGGATATGTGCTGTAAGCTGAGAGAACAAGCTTTTTCCTGTCCTTTCAAATGCTTGGAAACTATGTACAGGTTTGTTAAGTCCTCTTGGGCCTGCTATTGGCTACGGCCCAAGAGGTGAATGTGCTGAGTTGTAATCCAGCATAATCCCATTGGTGTGGCAGGATATGGCTTATGCACTCAGACATGAGTATCCGCACTGTCCGCCAGGCACATTATTCACTGGTGTGGAGGGCCTAAGCCCAGAGGGGTCCACTCTTGCACTCTGCCAATGATGCTAGCTAGTGGCTTTAAAGACAATGCAGCCTCCACGCTTACATGAAAACCCTTGTCTGATCCCTGGCCAAAGCCCACCGCTGCTCTTCTGATGAAAAAAAAAAAAAAAAAAGGTCTTTGACAGCGGGTCATGAGGGAAGCAGCAAAAATGGAGGAAAATGGAAGTGAAAAGAGCGAAGACAGCATGGTAGGAAACACCTGGCCTAAGTTTTCAGGAAGATGCCTTAACGTTGCCGGGCTTGTTGTGTGTCTGTCGGCGTAAAAAGGGGAGAATAGCAACACAACACGGGCAAAGGCTGACTCGAAGGGCCGAGTGGAAAAGACAAACATCCCCAGAGGCAAGCTTTACTTAAAAAAAAGACGAGTACAAGGGGTCTGCAGATGATAGAGAAATAGTACCACTGCAAGGCAGGCTACAGGAGGGAGGGATTTTAAACACATACACCAATGGATGATATCACAGGATTATATGAATAGAATGCACTGCCAGTTTAAAAGAAAGTTTGGGTTCCAGTCCCATAGATGTTCATCTGCGTTTCTGAAAAGACACGATTAAGGTGAGCACAGTGTGCCAAAAGGGTAAAAAAAAGAGAGGGTTTTACAATCAGTATCCAACACCTCAGTCAGCCATCTGAAGAATCACAGACAGGTGCAGGATGGCAGAGAGTTGCAAACCGAAATTGTCCCAAATCCTCGCCACAAAGCCGCGAGCATATCACTGCTAACTACCTAAAGGAGAAAAAGCTCCAGTGAAAACACAACCCGGCTCTCGAAACAGTGGCGAGCATGACACGAGGTACGCTGCAGAAGAGAGGCGCCATTAATATTTAAGGCGTGGAGCTGAAACTTTAAAAAGTGTGTTGCATTACATCCTGATAAGACTCTGTATCTCCCCTCTTCCCGAGCCCGCATTTATCAGGGATCTCGTCAAGCTTTGTATACGGAGTTTAGAGAGAGGCAGCGGGAGAACTAGTGTTTCAAGTACAGATATGTATCACTGGCTACCGGATCTCTAATTGGGCCTAGAAAAAAAAAAAAGGGGGGGGGGGGGGGTAATCTGCAGATTGATGGCTCTTCCGTAGATGTGTTTGAGGTCTATCAGGGAGTGAAATGAGACCGTGAGGACGATGCGGCATGGGGCTTGACATCACTCTCCAAGATAAAACACCCCAGGCTGATGGGAACAAGTGACCATCATCACTACCCTCCGCACAAACACATCTTCAATCAATGTGACAAACGGCACGGCTGCATCTCCTCCCCCCGCGCGCCGCACTTGAGGACAGCCTTTTCCGAGTCAGAGGGGAGGGACCGGAGGCAAACAGCAGGTTGAAATAATGAGATTAGCCTACGACACGCTCGCCCTTTTTCGTGTGTTTGTTCTTACCTGATGTGCAGGCACTGCCCGGCCTCTTAGCCTGCTGGAACGAGGAGTCTTTGCTCTGAGAGCCTTCCACCCCAACCTCCACCACCTGCACCTGCTGCAGGGGGGCACTCCACTTCATGGTGTACTTGGGGCCGATGGGGACGAGGCTGCTGATGTCTGGAGGCCCTCTGGAGCGGACGAGAAGAATTATATACCGACCGTTTATAAAGAATTATTTTAGATGCAAAGCAGCATCCTTACTCGCCAAAAGATGAAATCTTGCACACAATCACCATTTTTTTGTTTGTTTGTTTTTTTAAATGGCACAGCGGGACAAATATGCTTTTAAAAATCGTATAAATTGTGAGCGGGGTGAGAACTTGGGTTAGATGACCATGAATAGCAATGAACTTCAGGGGTGCTTTTTTTTTCACACATAGGTCAGTGAAAAAAAATGCAAGCCCTGAAGTTCATTGCTATTCATGTATTCCCGTAATCATGCTTACAATCAACACGGTGACAATTTTGTAAAGATCCCGGAGTCGACCTGAGACCCTCGAGTTGAGTGAGACATAAAAGTGGTAATTACTTTGAGGGCTGGGAAGAGAGGGTTTTAAGCTATATATTTGACAGGGTCTTTTCAAAATTTAGAGAATTCCTCTCTCCTGTTTACTTCTTTTGACAGCGATGGAAAGTGGGGGATGTGAACAATGATGCTGCCAAAGAAAATGAATAGCACCAAAAACAAAAGCATTGTCAGTAATGTAAGTCTACTGATAAAAGCTGATAGCAAATTCTGATAATGCTCAAAACTCCTTGCATCTGTTCCTCATTAACTTTGCAAAACCGAAAAATTCTAGCAAATGAGAGACCCCATATAACTTCACTTCAAAGTGTGCACTTTACCAGGACATGCTTTAAAAATCAGCACACACACACACACACACGCACACATGATCATGTTAGCAAAGTCTTCTTGAATGCAAAAAGAGGGAGACTTTTCCTACAAGAGGGACTTACTTGATATTTATGTTGGCACAGATGAGGACATCATCAAAGAGGAAGACTTTCCTCTCCTTTGACTTCAGGACTTGTCCCCGCTCGCCGTACACAGTCTCTATGAGTGTCTCACAAAGGACCAGTGACCCCTGCTCCGAGTTCAGTTGCTAAAAGGGACACAGCACGTCAGATCAGAGGCGAAGGAGACAGTATCACAAAAGGGCCAGTCCTCCAGAGTTCAGCGCCTGGAGGACACAGAAGTCTGGCTCGGAGGAACAGATGTCTCATCAGGGATTAGCAACACATTCATTCTTCCGAAGGTCATTCAGTGTGTGTGTGTGTGTGTGTGTGTGTGTGTGTGTTCATGCTCTCGCACATCTGCAGCTCTGCTCGTTCAGAGAACTTAGATTTTAAAAAAAGGAGCCCCTTCGCTGGCTTTTTTTTTCCGTCACACATTAGCACAGTGCTAAGAAGGGGCACCTCCGGGAAGCATTTACCTCATTTGGGCTCCAGGAGTTGCCAAAATTTGTCTAACTTTCTAAGTAAATACATCCAAAACACACTTCTTTTCATAATGTTTTCAATCCCACCCCCATCCACCTAAACTAGCTTGGCTTATAAATGCTGGAAAACAGTGCTTTTCACCCCAATCGGGCTACAATTCATAGACACTTTGACTCACACAGCTACACACACAGACACAGCTAAAGAATCCAATAACGGCAGCAATTTATGCAACGTAATGTTGGCACATGCTGCGTTTCGCAATCATCCATATGTTTGGCAAAGAGCAGTAGAAACAGAAAGCTTTTTATCGCTTTGGTCCAGCTTCTTTTGTGGCTGCTTGAATCAATACTTCCATTCTATTCATGCTACCCCATATTCATTTCAGTTAAGAGTCACTGTCCTGTAAGCAGCTGGCAGAGTTCAAAAAATGGATGTGACAAACTGAGACTTTGATGTTTCACGAGAGACGATGTTCTGTCTGCCAGGAGCGGCTGATTTGGGCTCGGATAGCTCACGGAATTGCCCATTAGTCCGACTCGGACCGCTCTTTCATGGTCAGGGAAGCATGCGGCAGTTGCGGAGCTATGAAAAGCTTCCTTAAAAACTTGAAGCATCGGTGTGCTTGTGTGAGCACATGTGGTTTCGAATGTGTGCGGATGGAACCCCTTCCCGCTCACACTCCTATCCGTCCTATTCTGGTGACTTGAGACACTTTGAGACAAAGAATGAATATTTCATTGGATGGTTATGGGAGCCATAGAGTACACTCTTTTTTTCCCTATTGGAATTCTGCAGTGTCACTGCAACAAATGGAATGGTGCGTGAGTGCGGGAGACTGGCCGATTCAGCTCATCTTTAGGGTCCTGGAGAGAGCAACGGCTGAAAAATAAAATAAAAAAGGGGCCGGAGACATGGGGGGTAGCAATAAGAGGGGAAGACAGAGGGAGATTCCATATGTAGTTACACTAGAGGAAGAGAGGAGTGTATAAGTGGAGTAAGACAGCGAGCAATAGAGTGCAAGAGGGGGAAATTTAAGGAGGAGGGGGGGGGGGGGGGGGGGGGGGGGGGAAAAAGGGGGGGGGGGGGGGGGGGGGTTCAGAGGAGACAGAGCAAAGAGGAGGGAGACAGACAGGGTGAAAGAGATAACTCTCTTACAGTTTCCAATTAAATGTCTCATTTACCCCCTAATTCTTCTTATTCAGAGCAGCATTTTTTTCAGATTTGCAGCGGCGGGACTGTAATTTTCGTGCGGTAATGGAGAGGCACCGCCTCTGCCATCGCATGTGCTACTGTTTGGGAATGATAATGGGCGTCATTTCTATGGGATAATTTCTCCAAATAAAAATGCCTCCCTGGATTAATGTTTGGGAAAGCGATCTAAGTGATTGCTTTATGCCAATTTAATGCCTAGGTGTTTGGCTCAGAGTGATAACACAGCAGAGGAGTCGGGGGGGGGGGGCTCAGCTCCTGGCCGTCCACTGATTTGCTCGGGGGCAAATGTGTGTGTACGTGTGTGTGTGTACCAGTGCGGGAGCAACTGCATGTGCATCCAGTCACCTTACTGAGCAGGCGATCGCTGACGCTGCGGGCCAGCTGCTGGGTCTCGGCGATCTGGTCGGCCACCCGCTTCTGTTCGTTCAGCTTCTCCGCCAGCATCTCAAGCTCGGTCAGGGCCAGCTGCAGAGGGAGACGGTCCACGTGGCCCTTCGGCGTATTCTTAAGCATGTCCTTAAAAAAAAAGTCACACATTTCCCGGGTCACGACTGAGCCGCGTTCGAATTCAAAATGGCACATTCCGACTTGTTTTTCTCTTTTCACACATGAGCCTGATTCCTTAAAAATGGCTAAACTGTAACGGGATTTTAAACATCCACACATTTCTGATTAAAAAAGCAATGGTTTGGCTTTTCTGCTGCATGGCTGCAGCAGCTGAATTTGGTCGCTGCTCCCTCTAGCTTTTGCCTTGTTAGCAGAACTTGCAAGTGAGAGCCAGCCTACATTACAGGCCTGATTCCTGAGGACTTGCTCTCTTAAATGACATTTGGAGAAGAGGCTGCACACTTGCAATGAGTCAGCAGCAAATAAAAGAGCTGGAGTTTATTTAGTGGTGGAGACATAAGACAATCAGAGTCCATACAGGAAGCTCCTATTGAATGGGTGATTTTGTCTCATGCAAGATTTTTAACCAGCATGCATTTCTTCTGGATCGTAGCATCAATCCAATTCATCTAACGACCAACCTGTTGGGTTGTGCACGGCTCATCTTACTTGTTCAAGTGGATGTTTCATCCAATAGTCTGTTAAGTGTTTTTTTTAAGTACTTGCTCTTTTCCAATCTTTTTTTTTTTTTTTTTGACAGACAAAATTCCAGATGGCTCTGCAAAACCAACCATCTGTCCCATCACGTTGGATGAAGACCGGGTCCAAAGCAAGGCTGAGGCTGGATAGCTGGACATTTGTACAGGCAGACAGCTTTGAAGTGGGAAAGATGCACACGGTATTTGCATACAAGCGGGGACTTTTTGGAGGGTGGGGACAAGAGTTTGGAGCAGGAAAATATCTGAAATTGAAAATCAATCAAAGTAATGCGACTGTGCTTTTGATTGAAGACCAACTCCTATAATCTAGAAAAATAGTGCAAAAAAAAACACTGTATAGACATTTTAAGAAGGTTTTTAAAAAAAGATGTGAAGATGCTGCAATTTAAAAACCGTAAAGCAGGGTGTGTTTATGTTCCATTCTTTCTTTCTGATTGTGCAGCATACTGATTCATAACAAAAATTAAATGTAAACACTTGCCCTTCTCTTAAAATGAGTATCTTAGATGTACCTGACCGCCTTCAGATTCACTTTTCTGTATTGTGTGATTAAACACAAACATTTCCGCTTTGGAGGGCTGAGTTTAGCCTTGAAGAAAAAGCCTAATTCACATTCATAAGTTATCTTTTGAATTCATGGATAATCAATGCTTACTGACGGATGAAATGAGTTGCTGCAGATCCAGCAATTCAAACTAAAATCCAAATCTTTACTCTAAATAGAAGGGGGAAGATGGTATATAAGACCACAACATGAAAGACCATTATGAGTAACTACTTTTATTACTCAAACCCAAGTACCAGGTCTTGCTGTTTGGATACGTTGAAGTCCATAATCAGATATATATAACCTTGGGTTTAGCATATTCACAGGCTGATTTGCAGATAAATCTTCATTTTCTTTCTTAGTGAAAGTTATTCAGAAAGCAAGACCTTTAAGGGAATTGATTAAAACAAAATAAATAATAAAAAATGAATGATATTAATACCTGCAGCAGCAGAATGAACTGGGGGAACCGCTGAATTGGCTTAACCATCAGGCCATACAAAGTAATCCGGTCAACGCTGGATGCCTGCTTCTTCTGGAACCGCAACAGAGACAAGAGCGAAAGCAGAGGAAGCAGTTAGAGATATATTCTGTCACAAGAACACCATTAAAAGAAAAATATGTTACTCCTACTTAAAGAGGAGAGCTTGTCAGAATTCTCTATAGACCTCGTGTGGGCGTGTGAGTGGGTGAGTAAGGTATGAAAATCAAGGTCTGTTAGTCAGAAGAGATTACAAAAAAGGAACTCTTTTTTTTTGAGTGAGTTATGTCTAATGTATTATTGTGGGCGCAGGTCAGGAAGAGATACCATTTCAGCACAGGGTTAAGTCTATGCCGCAATCACGGAGAAAAAAAAAAGCATAATAATGGTGCGCGGTAGATGAAGTTGGCTTACATTAACTGCCAGCAAAGAAACTCAATACGAAGAGGAAAAAAAAATAAAAAATCCACTGTTTACACAATCATCTTGCGTCACACAGTAAGTCACAGACTTTAAATATAAATCAACGTCACTTTGGGTTAACTTTTCTGAAACAACCGCGACGCGTTCAGTGACACAACAGCCGGTTAATTAATAGTTAATTGTGTGAAATGACTTTTTCGGAGTTTTTTCATCAAACAAGACGAGACATTTTGGAAAATTTTCTTTCTTCTTCAATAATTTATGGCTTCTGGCCCTTGGTGTTGCAGTCAGTGGAATTCATAAATATCTTAGCCAATCTGATCCCGAAGCTAAGAGAAATGAGCGATGAGTTCTTCTTCTTTTGGTCATCATTTTCACATTATCAGACATCACTGATCTCATCTATCATCAAAAAACTGCCTATTATTAAGTTATATACTATGATATCTATCTAACTGGTTAAAAAAATCTTGTCGTATCTAATTGTGCCAATATCAAACCCTCATTACACGTGTCTGTCATGTGAAAAAAATAATAAACCCCATCCTTTTGGTTCAGGGGTACACAGTTGCACACTAATGGATGATGGCAAACAACAAGTCAAGCCTCAACTTAAAGACCAATGTTAAAAACAGCATCTAGCAGATGGAAATCTAAAGCTTATTATCTAAGATCATGCAAAAGCAGTGAGATTTGACCAGATATCTCATTCAGAACACGACCCGATTCCCAGCAAAGTTGCCGTCTGGACCATGGCCAGCTAAACTCTGAGTGCGGTGAAGTGGGACTGCTGACTCACCTCCAACGGGCTGTCGTGGCCACAACATTTGACAAGTGGCAGCAAAAATATACCTCTACATAAAAAAGTTGGGCATCTTTCTGCTATTTCTACTTTTAAAAAAACGGCCTGGTTGCTTTTTTTTTTTTCGCGATACGAGCACCACCAGCTCCACGCCAATTAAATCCTTTCCCATTACCAGTAAATAATAGCTTTACCCACAGTGCTTTGAGGATGCAATGAATCCAGAAGCCGGCTCAGTACCACCGCATCTCGGGGGAGAAGCCTGTAAAGGGATGGCATCGCACCGAATCCTGAAAGCTTTATTGGAACCTAGTTTGTGATGGTACCAACTTTTTTTCAGATAATTACGCTGTGGGCTGCGGACATCAGCCTCAAGCAGAAGGGCCGAAGAGGGAGCTGCCAGCTGTTTCGTGTTCTCTGAATCTTCTCTTTTCTGAGATGATAAAAGGGTTGTTTTTTGGTTTTTGGTAAAAGAGAAACGAACCTGTTCCCACTCCTGTAGTCCCAGTCACAGCATCCTCACTAAAAAAAAAAATTAGAGCGTGTATGCACGTGTTGTGCTCTCATCAGTGCCAATCAGAGCTGGAGCCGGAACAAACTCACGACGTCTTTTGGTGCCGGGCTGAAAGCCACTTTGCTAGATATTAGCGGCTGTTTGTGGTGGTTTTGTTTGTTTTACCGGTGGGACCAATGCCTCAGATAAAACGAAGGACTGTTATAACATAAACAAGTGCAAAATGAATGCCATCTCCACCTGAAGGTTGCGCTTTTTCTTTGTTTTGCGAGATGTTACAGTCGAAAGACAAAGTGAGCAGCTCATGATATCTGAGCTCTCACAAAAATTAACTTAATTTGCCAAGTAGCACGCATAAGCAGTCTTTGTCTGCGAAAGAAGTTCTGCAAGTGTGACTTAGAAAAGAATAAAAACCACAAAAAACACCCCGAAAAGTATGAAATAAGGTCAAAGAAAACCTTAGGAGTATTCAGATGCCATGAGCCTTTTGTACATTGTCACATTGTGGATTTATAAAATATTATGTTTAAAACAAAATAAAGAAAACTAATTTCAGCAAAAGCTGTTTTCTCATATTGTTTCTGTAACAAAGATACTGCAGATTTTGTGGTTTCTCTAATATCAAGTCAGTTCGAGGTGAAAAGGTTTTAGATTATGTTGAAATTATATGATAAGTTTGGAACTCATCATTTAAAATTGTACTTTTTGTTAATCTGTGCATGCCAGTGTTTTCAAAGATCCATTAAAGGTCATCTCTAACATTTAGAACAGAACAATGTGCCCTTTTTATGAGAGGAGGAGGACGATGATCCAAGACACCTTTGTCATTTATCATCCAAAGCTCTCTCCTCTAAGAACCAGAGGGGAAGTAAACCTTTTCTCTCTACAGAACTTGTGAGCCACGGACAATCAGGCGAGGCAGAATCAAAAAGGAAAGAAACAACACAGAAACAAAACATGAGTGTTATCCGCTCTCCAAACCACCATCATATCTGGAACGTTCTACTTTGTTTTGCAAAAATATATTTCAGGAAATATCTCTGATGTAATTGTTGCCCGGCAACCTGGACGGCATGGCAAAAAGCCTCTGCATCCGCCACCATCCCACGGCCGCCCCTTAATGTCAGTTTACTGTAAAAGCCCTTTTGATTTTGCACGTTCTCATATCTGTACATCTCCTTTAGCTCCTATAGCTCGATAGCTAGGCACCATCTCCTTTTTTGCAAATGTGCTAGCTAAAATGTCCACCTCTGTCAGTAATACAAACCCACTGGGACACAGTGACATTGAGGTGCTGTTTGATTTGCCGCTCTAATCATTTAAAGGTTACAAATGTGGCTTATCTATAATTTTCCTTTTTAATTAGCTTCCCCTCCTAATCTGAACTAACTTACCGAGAAGCCGTATTACAAAAGCAGCTCCCGAAGAATGAGGAAGCACGCTGTGCTTCAGAGCCCTAATGGTCCAAGCAACAGAGAACTCTTAAACTCTGTCTATTTGAACCATTTTACGGAGCCCACCAAGCAACCGATTTTTCTTTTTAAAGATCAAGATCAATATTTCATGTCTCAAGTATCGTATAAACGCATCCTCGTCTGACCCTTCCAACCTCTAAAGATGCCTGTCTGTCTCCATAAAGTTTCCGCAGAAACAGTTGGACAGCAGCTATTGGTGCTTTTTTGCAAATGTAGATTTAAGCTTTCTGCAAAAGTTTTGAACGGAATATAGGTCAGGATTCATTCCTGGCCTTTTCAACTCATCTTTTCTGCGGCTGAATGTGTGTTACGGGTCATTGCCCCGCTAAAAGATTCAAAGCGTGCTCTTCAACCTGCTGTTCTGACACCATATAAGTCATTTTGCTCTACAATACTCTGGTTATCTGTTGATTTCATCAATCTTTTCATACGCGCCAATAATACTAAACTTAGGAAATGAAAGAAACTCCCTGACTGACCGGTGGTGGACTGACCTCTACCCTTTAAGTTTCACGGAGATGTTCGTGAATGCAACGCATCAGTTGCTGGAAACGGTAAATGTCTTTATATAATAAATTCATATAGAAGTGAAACTGCTATTTTTAGGATCATTTTGACAAAGGAAGTCCTCCATTAAGACTGTGCCTGGACAAGAAAACTAAAAACTCCTAAGAAAAGGTTAAAGGTTCCTAAAAATGATCCCAAAGCATTGGGCTGACAACTAGCACCCCTGGTGAGTCTCCATGTGCTGGAACCGGCTTAATCCAAGAGGTGCGACCGCACAAACAACCCAGTCTTAAATCCTCCACCACCATCCAATCCCACGGGGCAGAGCAGAAGTCCAAGGTCAGTGCTCTGCCGGCTCAGTTTTGCTAGCCGTTTTACAACCCAACGGGGACTTAAATAATACGAGTTGTGGAGTGTTCATTTACACATCAGTCCCGTCCATCTATTCATTTTCATCTGCTTAGTCGAGGTCAGGTTGTGGGGGGCGAAAGGTTCAGGAGGGGGAACACTGACCCCCGCCCCCATTAACAGTCCCCTTCTCCTCCTACGGGGGGATCACAAGGTGCTCCCAGATCAGACGGGATATAAAGTCCATCCATCTAGTTCTGGGTCTGTTCTGGGGTCTTCTCCCAGTACGATGTGCCCGGAAAACCTCAGCAGGGAGGCGACCTAACACTAGTTAGGCATCCTAACTAGTTGCCTGTGGTGGAAGGGACACTCAAACCTATCTATCGCATCGAGGTGGAGATTCCACATTATGGAATCTGAAAAAAGCCATTGTTTTAGTGCCATATTGATCCATAGTATTTTTGGTTGACAGCATCTTGTGGGTTAGTAGAGAAGAAACCGAGCAGAAACCAAAGAACAAATGTATCACTTTAATCGTTGCGAACGGGGTTAAGCTCACCTTTAGGAATTCCAGAAACGCTGGCTTGGACAAGCAGGCCTTTTTAATGAGAGCCATGGCATTGGTGAAGTTGTTGACATATTCACTGTACACATCCAACACCATGGACTTGGAAAACTGTCGACACAGGAAAACACAATCTGTCACGGCAGATACGATAAGATGTCAAGCGCCCCGCCATGTCTCGTTTTTAAAACAACATCCCCGGCAAATTGGTGTCTTCTGACGCACCGCATGGGTCACTTCGATGTAAAGACGCCAGACAGCTGACGTGTAAGTACGTTGCTAAGATACCTGGAGGGTTTGCTTACCTTTTCAGCTACTGTAAAATACCCCACACAAAGCATGCAGGAGGTCTATTAATGAGGAGTAAGGTGGAACTGTGTGTGTGTGGGGGCGGTTGCTGTGTGGTAAACATTTATTCCCGCTGATCAATTAGCTGATTTGACAATGTGGGTAGTAATGGGAAACTGTTAAATGGCATGAAGGAACTGAACCTCTTTTGCAGGTACAGATACGGCATTATATGCAAAAAGAGCTGCACACAGTCGGCAGTACCTTCATTCCTAAGTGAGCTCATTTGGTTTCCGGTCTTAACATATCAATAGAGCAAGACTTCAGCAACCGGCAGAGAGGAGAGTCAAAGAAGCCCCTCTAATAAGCAAATAATGAGCACCGTATGGATGGGTACATTGCAGCGCTAACAACAACAACAACAAAAAAAAACCTTGAAACCAAACACTGCTATATGCGCCGGAAAACGAAAATACAAATACAAAACGCAATAGGATGCAGTTGAGATTTTCATCATAATTTTAATTATTTCCATGTTTGAGGTAAACTATCCCTGTTTGCTCATCAGAATCCCGCTAGCAGGGACGGCGACCGAGAGTTAGACAAAACTGGCACGAAAATGATGATTGCTCCCACCCAGAATCCAAGTCTTTGATTGCACTTAGACACAAACAAAGGATGATCATGAACAAGCGTGCAAACAAACAGGCATGGGAAACAGAAAGTACAGCGTACGGAAAGGTTTTATGATTTAAAACAAAAAAAACATTCGGTCTATGCGAGAATTTTAACACTGTAAATGCAATCCTGGATCAGCAGCAGTGCATGATTTATTACACTGCCATCTACACAACAACAATTAGGCCAAAATGCAGTTCCATTGTGATTCATTAGCTTACTGAACCACATTTAACAGCTATTGCTGAATTTTAGCCGTCTTTTCTACAGAGCAGTGCTACAGTTTATCGAGGTTTGTGGACATTTGTTTCTTACAGCCGCTAACAGGTCCCAGCAAAGCCACTTTGACTGGACCACTCTGCAACACCTTGGTTCTTTTCTTTGGTGCCACTGCCTTTTACATTTAACACGCTAAGTGAGGCAGCAGAGTGTGAAGTGTTGTGTCTTTTTCATTTTATGCATTTTCTGAGCATCCTACAAAGTCATTTTGGGGTAAACTTGCTAGCTGGTGCTATTTCATTTGATAAATACATAATATGCTGATGTTCATCCAAGGTTTTATTCATATAGTTTTAAGATCTGCTCAGGATTAAATTATTTATCCTAATCATTCTCTGGAATACAAGACTTTAAGGAAGGTTCCCTTTCTTTACCACATGGTTGTAAAACAGGAAATAACTGTGCGGTTTAATTTCTATTTCAGACATATGACAACACATCTCATACTAACCGAGGCAACAAATAAGTCTCCGATTTTCTCATTGCTGTCCCACTCAGCCACCCGAGATGCCAGTGCAATCTGAAACATGGAGTGACACTGTGTAATCTCCCTGATTCTGTAAAAGATGGGGCGGATCTTCCTTGGACTCAGGATGCGTGGATCAGCCTCCATCAATGGTCTGTGGTACTCCTGGAGATATTGTGACAGAAACATGTTATTTCTTTTTTTATTTTATTTTGTATATATTTGAACACAGTGTACGGATAAGGATGCTTAAGAGGAATCAGGAACACCCCATTCCTGAATGTTATCCGCAAACAAACATGTTCAGAAAATAATAATGGGGAAATGTCAACACAGAAATGTGTTGACAAACTCTGAAAATATAAAAATTCCTCTTTTTTATTTGTGATATTCACCAAAGCTCACATAGATAGATAGATAGATAGATAGATAGATAGATAGATAGATAGATAGATAGATAGATAGATAGATAGATAGATAGATAGATAGATAGATAGATAGATAGATAGATAGATAGATAGATAGATAGATAGATAGATAGATAGATAGATAGATAGATAGATAGATAGATAGATAGATAGATAGATAGATAGATA